GAACTTATAGTTGATTCACTCATTGATGAATTTGATTCATTTGTTCGTGGATTTTTAGTTGTATTTTCTGGAATTTGTAATTCTTCTGGTGGACTATAAACTGTTGAATATACAACACAAGCTGTTTTTTCTTGATTTTCTGGATAAATTTTATTCTCTAAAATATCAAATTTACAAATTTAAATATTTATTTTTTTCAAAGAATATGTCGTGAATCCTAAAATTATTCGACTAGATTGATTTTCAAACTTTTTTTCACTGTCGTCAATGCGAATAAGAATCCACATAATGATTTCTTTTTATTTTCAATAAGAATTATTGAAGACGACAATCATCGCTGGCTTTCCAAGTTTCGCAAATAGAGTTTTATTTAAATCCACAAAATCAAACATCTTCCAACTTTCTACGATGTTTTTTTTTTCTTTTCTTTATACATATGGTTAGATAGAGCGTGACAAATTGATCATGAATATGTACGTTTTCAATTTTTTGGAATGACTTTTTAGAAGTCAGTCTTCGATAGACGATAAATTTTCAAATTTTTCATTTTTTTTAAACTTCAAAACTGGTTTTTTCCGACTTCGAGTGAAAAAGTGCATCTAAGAAACACATTTATGAATGAATTTCTTAAATTCAATTTTTCATACTAAATCGAAAACAAACCATTTTGAAATTTAAACGAAATGAAAAACTTGAAAATTTGTTACCTATCAAAAATTGATCTATTTTTCAAACAAAGCAGACTATCTGTAAAAAAAATTGAAAATTTTCCGCTAAATAATCATTCCAAAAACTTGAAAACGTATGTATTCACCGTCACAGGGGCAATTTTTTCGCCCTGTCCTGTTCTCAAGGTATGTAAACTGAGGTCAACTATGGAATAGGTTGATAACATAATGAAAAAATTTTATCATGTTTATATTTAGTGCTCATACTTTTTCTATATAATTTCAAGAGAATATTACTCATGTATAAAAAATAATCATAAATCTGTTATAAATCGATTAAAATTGTACGATTTTTATTCAATTATAATTTGATTTTAAGCCTCTATTTTGGTTTTTTTTCTTATTTTTAGGATTTTTTCCTAGTTTCTTTTATCAATTAAAATTCATTGATAAATTTTGATTAATAAAAACTGACAAATCTTTTTAATTGATTAGAGAGAATTCAAAAAAAAATAATTTTGACAATAAAAAGAGCAAAACTTGAAGAAGAAATTTTTCTTTTTTTAGTTCAATATCTTGTCTTTTTTAGCACGAGACTAGTAGCGTATTCATATAGAAATAAGATATCTGTCAATGAAAACCGGGGATTCTTTTTAAGTAGGTATCATCATTTAATTGAGTCAAGATCTTTCATCACTATTTAGTAATAGATCAAGATTTATTTTATTATTATTTGCTTGATAGACTTATAATTTGATAAGAGATATTGAATCTCTTCGAAATTAAAAAAAGTTTGTATTGAACGATGATAAATTAGAATAAGTATTATATACACAAGTTCTAATGAAACCGATCGACAACATGAAATTATCACTAATTGAAGGAATTAAATAAATGACATATATCCTATAAGATTCATGTTTGCATTTAGGACACGATTTTAAATAACGTTTATGAAAAAATGTTACCCGGGCAAAATAGTTTCCCCTGTCCTCGTGACAACCTCTGTCCTTGATCAGTTCGTCACGCTCTATCTAACCATGTTGGATGTCCCGAAAGTCACACTGCATATTGTATCATTAAATGCACTGTAGCTTTTGGAAAATCGTGTATATAAAAACAGTACAAAAAAACTTTCTGCTTTAATTTTTACATTTCCAGTATTTTACATAATTCAAATAAAATTCTATTTTCAATTTCTTAGAAAATTAGTAATTATTGTCGTCTTCAATAATTCTTATTGAAAATAAATAAATCTAGTCGGATAATTTTGGAAGTTACTATCAATAAATTTTTTCTTTACCTCGAATTTCTCCACAAATTCCACTATGACGCATTTCATATACAAAATCACTTAATGATGAATAACAAGAATTTGTACTATCTTCTTCGTCTTCAGAATCACTTCCACTTTCATCTTAAAATCAAAAAAATGTTTTTTTTTTAATATTAAATGAAAAAAAAACGTAAATAAAACCTGTTGGAGTTTGTTCAATATCATTTGATTTTGCATTGAATGAATGAATAGCTTGTGCAAGTGTACTATTTTCTCCGATTATATTAAATGGTATTGTTGTTAAATTTTGACTATACCATTTAGGTTTATCACCAATCACAGCTGGATCAAAAATACCTGTTTGTACACGTAAAAATGCTACATTTTCTGGGCAAAGTGACCATTCTGCAAAGAATTCGACTGCCTAAACAAAAAAAAATGTTCATAAATTTTTTTTTTGTATTTTTCTCTTCTTCATACTTGAGTTTTTGCTAATCGAATAATAAATGTTGATTTAACTGGTCTTGATCGTATAAAACTACTATATTGAAAAGCAACAACAGCTCTTGGATGTAATCTTAATGTTCTTGTATATTCATTAAAATTTCCAAGTATATTAGGTGAATTAAAAAATCTAATCATAGCTACTCGTGTTGCAACATCAACTGAATCAGTATCATTTCCATATATAAATGGATTATATGTTGTTGATGGTAAATTTTTTGAATTTGTTAGAAAAGATTTATCATTTAATATTGTATCAAAATTTTGTATCGGTTCTTTATCTAATGACATACTACTTAAAGCTTGTTTTAAATGATTACTTAATATATAATAGTCAGTGTCTGGAATGTCAAAACATTGTTCAACATTACGTGGTGGAATTATCTATTTGATTTTTTTTTTAAATTAGAATAAAATTAGAAAAAAAAATTAATTTTATATCAACAAACCTGATTTGTATCGAGATCTACAATCCATATATCATCAAATTTTTTTAATCCCATACCTTTATAAGGAAAAAAACTTGCAGGTACCCCAATTATAAATGGTGTTGGAATAAGTAAAAGCTTTAAAAATAGAAAAAAAATAAAAATATGTATTTTAATTTAAAATAAATCAATCTACTTGTTCAGCACCAGTCATACATGTTGGTAATAGTGGAATAACAGGAAACATATATTCAAGTGGATAAAGTAAAGCTACAAATGCTAAAACACTCATTGTTAATGCATTATAATCTCTTGATTGAAAAACAACCTAAAATTTTATTTGCAAAAAAAATTAATTTCTTTTTTTTGTTTTTAAAAGAAAAAAAAACTGTCTTACTTTATTTTCAAGCATAATTAATATTAATACACGTATACATAAATCAACACCAAGTAATTCAAGTGGTAAATGCAGAGGAAAATCTACAAGAGAAAATCTTGTATGATCTGGTAAAGCAAATAGCATTGGTTGTTCATTTGGAAGTACTTCAATCTAAATATTTGAGAAAAAAAAATCAATACAAAAAATATATCTAATTTATTTTCATTACTAAAATTTTTGTTTTTCCAGGAATAGATACTGGTGCACTTAATAATCGTAATATCCATGTTTCAATTTCTCGAACTTCACGACCTACTATACTTGATGTACATTCACAAACTTGACCAGTTAATATACCCCAAACAGTTTCTCTGAAAATCAATAAAATAAATTTCTTATATAAATTAAGAAGAATTTTTCAATATTTACCTTGATGTTCCTCTTGATGCACCAGTTCGTTTTGCACATGAACGTTCATTACAAGCATCAATAATAGTTTTTAATGTAATAAGACATTCACGAAAACGTGTAAAAAATGGATGATGACTTATAAGACAAATAGATGTTAATGTATTATTTCTTAAACGTCTTTTACGTTTACGTTCATTATTATCAATTCCATCTCCCCCTATTTGTTCATTTGTTACTGTTAAATGATTATTTGTTCCAGTATTATCATCAGATGAATCATTACCATCAATTTTTTGTTGATTATGACTATGTATTGAATATGATCGTCGAGAAAAATGTCGATAAAAATTTATACATATACCAAAACGTTGTCGATTTGAATCTTTTTCCGTTAATGTAAATACAAATGATGTTAATTGTTGAAAACCTGTTCGTTGATGGCCAGTATTAATACAACCTTCAGGTTGACAAAAAAATATAACATCAGGTGGTAATGCAAAATCTTTATGATCTTCTAATGGATAACGACGAAGTAGTTCAGGTGTTTGTGTAACATGATTATATTCATTTGGATGACGACAACCAACTATAATTACATAATCAACAAGTCGAGGAGAAAAATAACGTTTTGTTTGTTCGCACATTGTATTTTGTAGAAAATGTCATCACATCTGAAATATAGAAAAAAAAAGAACCTTTATATTTATATATATATGAGAACTATGTTGTACAAAGGAAGGCAGTCAAAAATGTTAATTCAACAAGAGAAAAACATTTTGACTAGTAATAATAGCCGTAAAAACTATCATTTTTTTTCTTCTTCTTCTTTTTTTATCTTGTCTCTAAGAAAATATAAATGATTTGATGGTTGACGATAGGCAATAGTATTGACGTTTAGGATGTGCGCTCAAGCGCACAGCTGAGACCCATAGAAGAGAAGAAAAAAAGAAACGATGTCATGTTGCACAAAAAGAACATAGAAATAAACGAAGAAAAATTATAGAAGAACGAATAAAAAATGGCATGAGAGAAAGACAGATAGCTTTTATTTTCGATTAACGTTACTTATCGGACAGGTTTATATATAGAAATAAATAATCATATTTTCTATGCAGTATATATATGATTTATATCGAAATTCTTTGACATTTATCATTTTTGAATTTATAAACCTAAAATATTTTCTCTTTTAATTAAAAATGAAAAAGCAAACGATTATGTATTTATTTATTTTTTTTCTTATCTTATATTTTCTTTATGTAAATACAAGAAAAACTGCTTTACTACTACGCATACAAAAGTTCATTAATGTTCTGGGTTTTTTTTGTTTTTGTCTAATAACGAACACCTTGTCCAGAACCATCATCTTTTTCGAATGAATAATGCACAGCACCAGGTTCAGGTTTTCGTGAAGGAAATGATGGAGTCATAAATTCAAATGTACGTAAACCATAAACACCTAATATAAATGTAGCTGGTAAAAGTAATAATCTCAATAATATTTTTAATGTAACTGGTCGTTTTTGTGGTGAATATCCAACACGTGTTTTATCATATTTAACATGATCAGATGGATGACGTGGTTCATTCCAATTTTGTCTATCCATTGGATAATCATAATCTTCCCATGGGCTACGATCAAAAAATTTTCCAGCTGGTTCAACACTTGGCATATCACCAGCATTACGTTCAGGTGGTAATGGTTTATAATCTTCTGGTAACATATTATATTTTTTTGCTGTTGCTGCACGATCTTCAGCTGTTACAGGAACATCTTCTTTTGGTCGCCATTCACGATTATTAAGTACAGTACGAATTGTTGTTTGTATTGGTAAACGATTTATTAATAGAATATTTCGTTTAGATAAACCTATTAAATGATTCATATCTAAAGAAAAATATTTTTTGTCTCTAGATTGTTTTTCTTAGTAGAAAAAAAAATAAATCATTTTATTAGTAACAAATCCAAAAGAAAAAAATGAATTAAGTTCGTTTGTCGTATATATAATTGTTCAATGTTATGAAACTTTGATTTCTTTGTCATTAGAAAATTTATTGATATGAACTTGATTAACGACCATATTTTTGAAATTCCCACTCACGATTATCTAAAGGACATACTTGTCGTGTTTTTAACCATCGTGATATACAGTGGAAATGAAATGCCTAAATATAATAAAATAAACTTATACAAAATCTTTTTTTTTTCCCTTGTTATCGAACGGATAATTACGTGATTACACACGCCCCAGGCTACAGTGCATTCTTCAGTTGTTGCTGCTGCTTGATTTGCTTGACATTCAATACACAAATCCATAATATGATTTCGACATATAGCACAATTATCAACAACAATGTCCCATGCCCACAATGTAACTGCATTCCATTTTTTAACTTCAAATCTTTTACGTTGTCCACCTGATGTATCCGTTGTTGATGCATTGGCTACATCAGTTTCCATATCTGGTGATTCACTCGTTGCCATTGTATTAAATTTTCAAAAAAACAAAGTCGCTTTGAATAATGAATATCTTAAATATAAATACGGGTTTTTTTTTAAATAAAAGTATATTTCCAAGTAAGAAAATGACTCAATAATTTCTACGTATTATGAAATTTAGTAGTTCGGTTTCAAATTACTAAAATTCACCAATGGTTTTGAATACAAGAAATATTTCGAGATTCGCAAATAAGTTTGATCATATGAAAAAGAAAAAAGAATCAAACACAAATGACTAACTTATTGATAATAGAACAATTCAACAAGATAAATAAACACAAACAATATGGCAGCATAAAAAAAAACACGAGACGCTTATAATTCGTCTATTTATAACCAATGAATATAAAACGAAAGCAAGAAAAAAAAAGCTCATAGAATTCATTTATTATAAATTGTCAATAAGATATTTAATCACTCGATGCATATATCCGGTGGCAGAAACTAAGTATAAAAAAAGCGTAAGAAATTATATTTGCCAGGCAAATGGCTACACATACCAGCAAAAATAACAGTCGTATTGCATTAATTACTGGTGGTACGAAAGGAATTGGCTTTGCAGTAGCACGTCAATTAGCTGAGAAAGGTATTGAAGTATTAATTGGTTCTCGTGATGAAATCAAAGGTGAAACAGCTGCTGAACAACTTGCATCTGAAAATCTTCCAGTTACTTATATATTAATTGATGTTACTAATCATTCAACAATTGATTTAGCTGTTACAGAAGTTGCAAATGCATATGGTCGTTTAGATATACTTATTAATAATAGTAGTCTTTGTTTAAAAGAACCACGTCCAAGTGAATTAACATTAGATATGATTCGACAACATTTTGAAGTAAATTTTTTTGGTACATTTGCTGTAACAAAAGCATTCTTACCATTACTTCGTCAATCATCAGCAGGACGTATTGTTAATGTTTCAAGTGATCTTGGTTCATTTTATTTTCATGAAACAAGTAGAGAATCTAAGTTGCAATGTGGATATAGTACATCAAAAGTTGCACTCAATATGTTTACACATCAATTGGCTAAAGATTTAAAAGGAACAAGAATAAAAGTAAATGCATGTATACCTGGTAGTTTAACAACGACTGAATTAACAGCTCATCATAGTCATTCAATTGAAATTGCAACGAAATCAATTATTTTCCTAGCTACATTATCTGATGATGGACCAACTGGAAAATTTTTTGGACAAGATTGTGAAGAAGATAAATGGTAGACAAAAAAAAAATTTGAATGTGTACAATAATTCCATTGATGTATTTAGCTTTCTAGTCAGTAATGAGTACACTGTATCATTCCAGCATTATGTCTCTTTTAAGTCAAATATTTAGTTGTGTGTAAATGTTGTTTAAATGTTTAGAGAATAATATTATTTCAGATTATTTTATCTTTTGTATTCTTGTGCTTTTGGTGACAATAAAATTTAAAATTATATGACCAAAAAAAAAAAGAAACTATCGTAAGTGTTGGATTCTTTCTTGATAGTATGAATATGTATTACGAATATATATAGTTTTTTTCTCTTTATTTTAGATCCCTGGAGCCAATAAGAGTATTGGTTACGCAATTGTAAATAAGCTTAGTTTAATTTTTGATGACATTCTGTATTTGACTGGTAAATTCATTATTTTATAATTAAATTTTTCATGTCTATTAATTGACTGTCACAATCAAATGACAGTTAAGTAGTACAACGGGTAGGGAAAATGAAAAAATTTTCCACTCTTTGACTTCATTTGTACTGTGAGAGCAATGGTCTCAGTGGATTATGTATTCTAAAAACTTGATATGTCAAGCTATTGCTTCGTGCAGACGGTTACATAAATGTGTAGTTTTTTTTTATTGAGTTAGTTTGTTAAGGTTATGTTTTGAATGTATTCGAACATCAGTGATGTAACCAAAATCATTCCATAAATTTAAAGTATCAATCAGATTACTTTTGAGATATATATATATATATATATGATGAATAAATCGTACTGAGTCTGCCACTATTGAGCGAGCTAATTATAATCAAAAACAAAAGACCAATATACACCTGAATATAATAATGATTTTATCTATTTTTTAAAGGATATTTGATACTCAAGCAAGAAATATAAGATAAAAAGAATATAAATAAAAGATTGAATACGTTCATGTCTAATAATCCTTCGATGATTTATGTCTTTGATATTCGCTACTTGTTTTTGTTATTTGATATTCACGATTGTACGAACGTCATTTTTATGCGCAGATGTTTTAGATTAAGAACAAATTTATTAAACTAATTATATTTTTAATTTCACCTTTTATTTATCATCGTAGCATTACTGAATTAATTAGATTGTACGCTCTACAGGAAAAACAAATCTTTCAAAGCAGTCTAAATTTATCAATTCATTTCCGGGAATTCCGCTTTATTAATACATCCTTTTAACCTTGAAAAATAGACAAGAGAGACTTAGATAAGATTTATTATTTTTTCGTATTCTTAGCATACAATGAAGAGCTTTGTTAAAGAGCAATTAAACAATTACTAGAATCAAAATATGAAGCTCGAGAAAAAGTTCATTTTCATCAATTACAAATGTTGGAAGTATACATCAACAAGTTGATTATATTAAAAAACAATATGAAGCTTTAGATATTCTTATAAATAATACTATAATAGCATTTCAAATAGTTTAAAATAATAATCATTAGAGATTCATTTAAATTGAATAGTGTATGTCTAAATTAATGATATAACACCATTTGATGATCAAGTTGAAATAACAGATTAGACAAATTTTTTCGATACAATGAATATTTATAATGCTTTATTTCCTCTTCTATGAGATCATGCACGATTTGTTTTGTTTTAAAATAAAAATTAACAAGAAATTTTTCTTCATCTCAGAATTGATAATATGACAAGTCATATTGGCATACGAGAATCAGTAAAAAAACAAAATTGTAAAATATGTCATAAAATAATATCATCTAATGCACTAATTGAAAGTGTTTCTGATATTCTTAATGATTTTATTAAGTTAATATTAAAAGACAAAAACTTTTCTCTTTCTTTTGGTCAACAAAAGCAAAACAGAATTCTCATGAAGATAATAGTATGAGTAGTATTGCATTAATAGCTGCAATTATAATTCAACAATCTTTGTTTGATCGGAAGCGAAATAAAAATATTATTGTTAATGTTTGTTGTCCTGATTACATTATAATTCATATGAATTTAAACAAAGGTACAGGATGATCTGAACAAAATGCCAATATAACTATTTATTTAACGACAGTAGAACTAAATGTAAGAGCACCACGAGGAGAACTTAATGATGAAAGAAAAATTCTTATATGGAAATGTTAGCACTCATTTATTCAGTATACACACAAATATGTTTGTTTTATAAATATTTTCTGTGGTGCATAAAATTATACATATCTAATTGCCAATATGGAAATTATTCTATTATATTTGTCTTTCTTTTTGTATTGTTTTTCTATAGTTTTGCATTTTATTCTGGTTTTCTTGATTGCAATACATGTCCTCAAATTTTTATGAAAAAAGAAAAGATAAATCTTTTGGGAGATTAATTTGTCGGAAAATATAAAGACCATTTGGAAATCACACAATCGATGATTTCGATGACCAATAGAGTCTAATTTTAAATAATAGAAAATAAAAACATTTGATTGTACAAAATTGAAGACAATGTTATTAAAAGAAGATTATGCATCAAATGGCGAGCCATGAGAGGGAAGAATGCTAATAATTAATAGATCGATCAATGGTTGGATCGATAAAGCCACAAAAAATAAAATAAAATTTTGAAGCTTGGTATGCATACTTTTTGTGAAATATGATCTAAAATGAATGTTGAAGTATAGAAGCAAAAACTTGGACTCACACACAACCTGTGAAAGACCCTAACCCGAAATTATCACAGACACTTTAGCACAATACTCTCTCTCCCGCATCACAGATCGTGACAGACGTAGATGTATGATCATGAAGAGTATATCAATAACGTCTCGTTTATAATATATGAATTATTTTCTTATTACATTTTTGAAGAGTTAAGTAGAAGGATAGTGAAGAAAAATGTTCCAAAATAGATAGAATAAAGCAATCTTCATGTGATTAGCAGCAGCAACTACATTGTGTATCACATTTTAATCCCACAGGGATTGTGCTAACAGTTTTTTACCTTATGTTAACTGCCTATTTTAAGAAGAATGAAGGATTGACATTTTGAAAATAAGGTAAATGTATGAAAACTTAGTGATATGTGATTGTCACCCTCATATCATTATATCAGTTTATAGTTCGGCTCCCCGTGAATAGAATTTATGTGCTGATGAAAACTACTTCTCATTTGCTTCTTATGTTTTTGACTTGTTTTCCAACATCTGTTACTTCTTTTTTTCTTTTGAAATTGTCAATAGTCAGAAGTGTGTCATTATACAAATCGATTTGCAATATAAATGATTTGGATATTCTGTCCAGATTTTATCATAGTAGTACGTACTCATTTTCAACGAATTTTTATTTGATATAAACGTTTTGTTGATATTATATATGGCAAAATTGTTTTTCAAATCTTGTAGATATTTTCAAGAATTGTTCAACTCTCTAAGCTTCAATACTGAACGATGAAGTTTTCTTTATTCCTGCAATATTCGAATAACTCCATATATATATGTAAATCGAACTTCTTCTATTTTTTTGCCTTAGTCTTATAAATTGAGCATAAGCCTACGGAGATTTTATTCATTCATTATACAGTCCAACAATGATTTCATCTTTAAATATCCAGATTTTTATCATTGTATTTATGTTATTTATGGCATTGTTTTCAATTGTTGTTCTTACTATCATTCGATTTCATTTATCAAAAGAAAATAAAAAATTTAAAAAAGAATATATGGCTTTACTTATTAATTCTAATAAAATGATTGAAATGATGATTCCAATAAATGAACAAAGACAAAAATCAATTGATCAATATACAACACAAATTCAAACAGAAACATTTCATCCATGTTTTGAAACAAATCAGGATTTTTATGAATCAATTTTATCTATGAATGATATTCATCATTTTCCAGTACGTGAAACAATTTTTCAATTGTGTCCTAAATCGATACCTCAGATGGTTACAAACTTAAATGAAGAAAATCATTCAGATGAACAGGAAATTAAATTTATTTAATTTTTAGTTGTCTGATAATCGATGAACACCCATTGATCGATATATGATTTACTTTATTTTGATAAAAATCTTAAATATGTTCTATTAAAACTCAAAATAATTATATTAAAAACTGAAGTGCAAGATAATTTAATAGAATAAGAATAACTTGAGATTGATTTTTCAATCAACTAACTTATGTATTTTGGTATTTTATAATAAAATAATACGTCCTTTTATAGACTTTTATTTGTCATAGATTAATGAAAAAAAAATTCATGCAATATAAAAGAAAACATAGAAGAACAAAATTTTTGTTTCTTTCCCTTCATTTTTTAAAACAAAACAACGATATTCAATTAAAATGACGGTGACTGTACTCCATCGACATTGGTCTTCGATTTACTTAAAATACAGAATAAGCTAACTTCGTAAAGGGACCTTCTTCGTTGTTCTCACAAAATCAAACCAATGTAGATAGTTTTTTCTATCATGAATATGTAAATCTTTATCATCTTAGCGAATATAAAAAAGTTATCGATGGCTTTAACTCAATTATTTCTTTAGTTGATCTTTCAACTAGATATGAACTATCAGCATTATATAAACATAGTTACGCGTACTTTAAAACAAATAAATTTTATTCAACTTTGAGTAGTTATCAATTTTATTTGAATCAGTCTAATAATCACGAAGAATAAAAGCATCTTATTCATAAAGGATTTTATCAAATGGGGTTTGCCTATGTGGCATTTAATAAATATGATTTAGCTATACCATAGTTTAATAATACCATTAAAGTTAGTGCAGATATTGAAAAAGATGAGCAAAAACTCTATTGTTTACATCATGGACGTGCTTATGCACATTGTGTAAAATATAATTAAACAGAAGCAGATCTTGCTGACAGAGTTTGATAAATTACTACCATCAAATGGAACTAAATTTAAACTAGCACTTCAAACATTCAATAATCACTTTCCGGTTTCGATGAAGTCTGTCTTGTGCAACTCTAAATTCACATAATGTAGCATTATATGATTTTCAATAGAATTAAATTATTCGATCTTCATTGGTTTGAATAGATCGATTAAACATAACGAAAATCAATCGAATGTACAGAAAACTTATTAAAGAAAAAAAAAACATATTTCAATGGAAGCTGCTCTTCATCTGTTAATTGCTGAATATTTAGAAGAATAAGCGTCATATAGAACTCATCCATTAATCATCGTATAAATCAGTACATGAATATATTTAAATTGTGAAAGTAAACTTTAAAATGAATTGGGAGTAGCAGATTCTATTGTGCTTGTCATTTAACAGTTTTGTTACAGCTTACTATCTTGCTAACAGGTGTCAAGATTAAAGATGTGCGGAATCATAGTTTTTGGTCCGAGTCTAGAGAAAACTATTTCAGATATTTATTTGTACCATATCTAAAATAATTCTTCGATACTCGTTTTTTTTTATTTATTTAGTTGACAACTAGCACTTTTTGGATCATCTCTTTTTGAATTGTATTCTGATTCAAATGTTTTATAAGATAATTTGTTTAAAACCATAGAATATTTTACTATAAACTTGAGCTCCGGTCCCGGCAGTTTTTCTTTCTCATATTTCCGATCTTGGCAATCCAGTGAAAAATTTTAGCGATTAAAATTTCAAAGTCTTATGCGTTTAATCAAAGTCAATAACTCGATTATTCTGCACCAAAATCCAAATTATAATTGATTAGAAGAATTGTAATCAATTATAATTTGGATTTTGTTTCTCAATAATCATGATGAAAGTCCTCATATAATTCATTTCAGTACGATTTTGATGAATTTTTTTATACCGTGGTACTGGTTTGTAAATGATCAGATGAAATACAACTAGATAGAGATCTTTCTCATGCAAAAAAAAAAGGATTTTTTCGTACATGAGAATTGTCTGTTCTTGTTTTATGCTACCTGTTAATCTGCTTCAACCTCGTATTATCTGTTAGTCAATTTTAATCTATTATTACTTGTTAATTGAATTTAATCAATTGCATGCAAATTTTACCCTTTTCTGTGTAAGACTTCGGCATATATGAAGCGCTTTTGTAAATTGCTATTCTAACATGTTGTACTCATCTCCTGTGAATCTTCTAATTCTGAAAATAGTCGGTTTTATTTTATTACTATTTTTAGAAATCGATGAAACATTATTCAGGTTTTTAATGAACTGACGATTGATTTCAATCAAATTGCAACTGAGATAATTTGTAATAATCAATTTTAAATCCATTAACTAGATTTTTGTTGATTGAGATTTCAATCGATTTTAATCTGATTATAGTGCAAAAAGTGGATGGTTGAGACAAAAATTTAGTATAATGTACTGATAATCAAAAATAATTCTGATTTTCGTAGGAATATTTTTCACTTGGTAACTTCTCTGTCTCTCGGTCCTGCGCATCTCTAGTCAAGATCGAAATCTATCAGAATCTGTTACTGAAGATTAGATTGTATGTTCAGTTAAAAGTATATTACATATAACCTATTTATTAGATAAATGTGTTACTGAACATGAATAGATTAATCTAGTTAAAATTACTAAACAGTGTAGTACATATATTTTTATACGTTCATGATAAGACAAATTAACCAAAGTATGGTGGACATTAAAAATTTTAGGAAAATTGTTTGAATCTATCCCTATTGGTTCACAATATAACCAGATATTGTTTAGATCTTAGTAGTCAAAAGAGAACCGACTGTATATTCCTAATTCTTACTAATGAAATTAACAATAAAGAATATCATACTTTACTAGCAGTTGAATAGTCTCTTCGATGTATATTTTTAATAGCTTCGAATATCAAAGAGTTATCTCACGGTCAGATTGACTTTTTAATGAATATTAGAAAAACATTAAATTTCTTTCGTATAAAACAGTCACATATACTTATTATTATATTTTCGCTTTTTCTTTTTTGTAGCTTCACTCAATTTTCAACATTTCCATCATTTTAATTGATTGTTACGACATTGAAGCCTTAACAAAGATGAATATTTTATCGAATATTTATTTCTATGCACAATATCATAAGCGTTTTTTTTGGTTTATTGCTGCCAATGAAAAAAAGAGTGTTTTTCATATGTCAATTAAAAATTTCATCATTCATCCACTACGTTGTGATGGATCTTTAAGTAATTCCAAAAGTAGTTTTTTATAATCTCCACTTGTTTCAGAACTGACATCACGTTCTAATTCTCGATTGAATAAACGACTGAATGCTGCTTTTATTTGAACAAGATCAACTTCTGAACGTGTTATTACTACTCGATTTAATGTAGATTCTTTTGTACCAGCTCCCTACAAAATAAAATAAATCGAAAGAAAAAAAATTTTAACAAATTTATCATACTTTCATAGATTTACGTAATTGTTCAGCAAAAAAATGTGGACGACTTCGTACACATCGAATAATAGCTAAAAGGCCTCTTTGAAGATCACCACTTGTTTCACTCTTAACTGATTCCTCTAATTAACAACGAAGAATAATTAAATAAATAATAAATATAAATTTCTTACCAATTGATTTGCCAGTTAATTTAGCATATTCATTAAAAATTGCTCGTAATTGTGGATCACTACGATCACAAAATAAAACATTAAATCTGGATTCATCTGTTCCAAATTTTGCTGCACCAGCATCAAGTAATGATTGTGCATCTTGTTTAGCTTGTTCAACATTAACTTCTGTTGTTTCAGGTCGTCGTCCTTGCATAAGTGAAACAAGTAAACGACGAAAATTTCCACTTGTATCGGATTTAACATCTTTTTCCAATGGTTTCGAATACACTGAAAGGAAAAAAAATGAGATCAATAAAAGAAATATACATAGCGGATAGATCAAAAGTTTTGAGACAAAACGTTCCTTCATTAGCTGACTGATTAAGATGGTCAGCAGACTCTATAAAATATTTTCTTTTTTTTGAAATTAGAATTTTGTATTCTTTCTGCATCTAAGTTCGGAATTTTTATTAGACTTATATTTTAAGAGTGATGAGTGAATCTTAGAAAGACGCAGAAAAAAGTTTGGATGAACATAGCTGCAACTAACAAATCCATAGATACAGAATGTGACTGCATATCGTTTAAAATTGTTTTCATGATGTTCTTCATAAATCTTTTTTACGAGGGAACTACTTGAAATGATATTCACTGTTTGAGCTCATATTGGGTTCATATAGTGGTCTTGGTAAGACTAAAAAAAATCCTAAAGTGATTCGTGTCCGTGGACCTCTGAAGCCGAATTATGACTGTTTTACTGAATTTTCGATCCAGCTTTAGGTATTCACCGAAAAATCAAAAAATGGTATTTCGATATGAAATTTTACACACAGATAAGTCTGATGACTCTGAAAATATTCTGAAAGTTTCAGCCAAACAGAATGTTCCTTTTTCGAGATATTAAATTTCCAAGAAATGGTCGTTTGTCACAAAAATCGTGTTTACTTGAATATTCAATATCTCGACAAAAGAATATTTTTTTTCGGATGAAACTTTCAGAATATTTCACTAGTCATGATCGCAATACTGTTATTTAATTTTTTTGTCTGAATATCTAATGCTGGATTGAAAGTTCATTAAAACGATCATAACTTGGCTCCAGAGGCCCATGGTTACGAACCATTGTAGAATTTTTTCAGTCCTACCGAGATCTTCTTGTGAATCTAATATGATCTCAAACGGTGGATATCAGTTCGAGTAGTACTCTTATAAGATAAATTGCTGAAGAACATCATGAAAATAATTTCAAACGGTATAATAGTCGCATTCTGTATTTACGGATTTGTTAGTTACAACTGTGCTTATCCAAACTTTTTCCCCCCGTCTTTCGCAAAAATTTACTCATCACTCTTAAAATATAAGTCTAAAAAAATTCCGAATCTAGATTAAGAAAGAATACAAAAATTTCGATTTTAAAACTAATATTTTATCTCAAAACTTTCAGTTCATCCGTTAGTTAAGCATACTTTTTTGAT